TGTATTTCATTTGTTGTACCCTGGTTCTCAAAACTAATTAAGGATAAGGGCTGTCCCGAAAGTGGGGCTTCTCTTTAAACCGTCTCTTGTAAATTAGCGTCTCTTTTTTTACACCCCCTGTAGCCTAGGGCACCCCCCTAGCGTCATTTGCCCATATTGGGACTCTTCTAGGACCTAGCCCACGCGAGCTAGACTCCGCTTGACGTTAAAAAGCAATAAATAAATTAAATAAATATTTATTTATAAATGTTTTAGTTGTCTAGACTTAGAACTGGAATCTATTGAACGCTATCAATAATTGGTTGGAATTTCAGTTGTTTGTTTTGAATGAGAAATTATTCTAGAATCTTTATATAGGGCATTTTTTAAATATTTCTTTCCATCAAGAAATCGGAGCTGTAGGTAGCACAGAGCTTATATAGTGGAGAATAGACGAGTAGGACACCCCTGTCAAATAGCGGGGGAGATCTTGGAGGGGTAAATTTCCTTCACTCTCAAAACCTAGCCTAAGAGGTTCTCACTGATATCATCTTTCAGCGTGAATCGCGAGTTCATCTTCAGCTCTGTACATAACTTGCTTCGCTATCCCTTTCTACATCTCTCTGTACACACACTCCAGCAAAGCCCACAATGTCCCTCCCAACCACATACCCAGGCAAGCTACCCCTCCACCCCTCTACCCCCNGCTATCCCTTTCTACATCTCTCTGTACACACACTCCAGCAAAGCCCACAATGTCCCTCCCAACCACATACCCAGGCAAGCTACCCCTCCACCCCTCTACCCCCTACCCCCTATTCCTCCTCTCCTCCCCTTTCTCAACTAACACCCCCAGACCCCATCCCCATAGCCGTCATAGGCGGCACCGGTCTCTCCTCCCTCCCAGGCTACGTCCCCGTCGCAACGCTCAACCCGCTCACACCCTGGGGCCACCCCACCTCGCCGATCTCCGTATGCACACACAACAACATCCCCATTGCGTTCCTCTCGCGGCACGGGCTGCACCATGAGTTCGCGCCCCATGAGGTGAACAGCCGGGCAAATATTGCGGCGTTGAGGAGTGTGGGTGTGAGGTGTGTTGTGGCGTTTAGTGCGGTGGGGAGTTTGAGGGAGGAGGTGAAGCCGAGGGATTTTTTGGTGGCGGATCAGGTTTGGGATCGGACGAAGGGTGGGTTGTTGTGTTTTTTTTTTT